GCAACTGAAGATCATAACATGATGATGGTGATGCCATGGTGATGATCAAGTGCTTGGACTTGAAAAGAAGAAAGAGAAAAATAAAAGGCCCAAGGCAAAGGTATAAGTGGTAGGAGTCTTTTCGTTTCGGTGATCAAGACACTTAGTGACTGTGATCACATTTAGGTTCGATAGCCATACTATTAAGAGGGGTGAAACTCGTATCGAAATATGGTTATCAAAGTGCCACTAGATGCTCTAACTCATTGCATATGCATTTAGGATCTAGTGGAGTACTAAAACCCTTGAAAATGTTTGTGAAAATATGCTAACACACATGCACAAAGGTGATACACATTGTGTTTAGCACTTGGGAGCAAGGGTTCCAAACTTCACCGGCGGAGTGTCCGACGGTGCCACCGACGCCCTGTACAAAAAGGACAGGGTTTCACAGAGTGCACCGGACGCTGGTCACACAGTGACTGAACTCTGACCCTATGTTCGGTCAGTAGCAGTTGTGAGCGTGCGGTCTCGGTCTCATGACCGGACGCTCAGGGCCTACGTCCGGTCAGTACTGACGTATGTTGATGTGGTAGCGTGTGGAACAGCAGTGACGCGTGGCAGTTGGAGAATGACCGGACTCAGGTGCTGTGTCCGGTCGTACAGGAGCAGATGCGTCCGGTAGTAAATTTCCACCTCTGGAACCTTACTGGAAATGACCAGACGCTAGGGTCCTGCGTCCGGTCATGATCAAACTGACGCGTCCGATCGTGAATGGAACCTCTCTAGAAATGACCGGACTCGACAGAGGTGCGTCCGGTCTTGGCACTGTGCTGCGTCCGGTTGTCACTTAACTATTGAGATCGGGCGCTCAACATTTGAAGAGAGGGATGATGTGGCAGCCATCCATTGACCGGACGCTGGCAAGGTGCGTCCGGTCGATCTGACCGGCGCGTCCGATCACCCCGATTTTCAGTGAACTGAGGAGCCAACAACTTTATTTTGTGGGGGCTTCTATTTAAGCCCTATGGCCAGCTCAAGCTCACTCTCTTGACCATTTACACTAAAATAGCAACCTTGTGAGCTTAGCCAAAGCCCTCCCACTCATCTCTATCATTGATTCATCATCTTTGTGAGATTGGGAGTGAATCTAAGTGCATTGCTTGAGTGTTTGCATCTAGAGGCACTTGGTGTTCGTGTTTCACTACGGGATTCGCTTGTTACTCTTGGTGGTTGCCGCCACCTAGACGGCTTGAAGCAGTGAGGATCATTGAGCGGAGGTTGGTGATTGTCTCCGGCTCCGATTGTGGTGATTGTGAGGAGTTCTTGACCTTTCCCCGATGGAGAGCCAAAAAGTACTCTAGTAAATTGCTTGTGGCTTGTGTGATCCTCATCTTGTGTTGGTTGTGTGGCACCCTATTGAGGGTTTGGCGTGTGATGCAAATTAGCGTGTGAACCTCCAAGTGAGTGAATCGCCACAACGAGGACTAGCTTGCCGACAAGCAAGTGAACCTCAATAAAAAATCATTGTGTCATCATTTGATTCCAAGGTGATTGGTCTTTATTGATATTCATTCTTATGATTGATTGGTTCATTCCTCGACTCGGCGGTTGAAAGCTCTAATTTGGTTTTCATGAATTGATGAAACCCTAAGTGCTAACCTAGTTTATCAAGTGACCATGATATAGGTAGCACATTTCAAGTGGTGAAGCAAATGAAGATCATGACATGATGATGGTGATGCCATGGTGATGATCAAGTGCTTGGATTTGAAAAGAAGAAAGAGAAAAACAAAAGCCTCAAGGCAAAGGTATAAATGGTAGGAGCCATTTTATTTTGGTGATCGAGACACTTAGTGAGTGTGATCACATTTAGGATCGATAGCCGTGCTATTAAGAGGGGTGAAACTCGTATCGGAATGCGGTTATCAAAGTGCCACTAGATGCTCTAACTCATTGCATATGCATTTAGGATCTAGTGGAGTGCTAACACCCTTGAAAATGTTTGTGAAAATATGCTAACACATGTGCACAAGGTGATACATTTGGTGGTTGGCACATTTGAGCAAGGGTTACGAACTTCACCGGCGGAGTGTCCGCCCATAGAGTGCGGACAGTCCAACGGTGCCACCGACATCCTAGACAGAAAAAACGGAGGTCACTGAAAGTGACCGGACGCTGGCCTCGGTTGGACCAGCGTGTCCGGTCAGTAGAAGCTGTAAAGACGCTGGCGTCGGTCTCTGATCAGACGCTGGGTCACTTAGTGACCGGACACTAACAGGGTGCATCCGGTCCAGCTGACATGGCAGCGCACAGGGGAGTCACCGTGTGACCGGACGCTGGGTGTGTCCGATCGAGCATGACCGAACGTGTCCGGTCGTAAAAAGTTGTCTCTGGATGCTTACTGGAAACGACCGGACACTGGGGTTCAGCGTCCGGTCACTTTGAGCTGCTGCATCCGGTCATCACTTGATAGTTACACTAGGGTCCTACGTCCGGTCGATCTGACCAGTGCGTCCGGTCTCCTCGATTTTTCAGTGAACAGAGGAGCCAATGGCTCTATTCATGGGGGGCTCTCTATTTAAGCCCCATGGCCGGCTCAAGCTCACTTTCTTGGCCATTTGCATTGACATAGCAACCTTGTGAGCTTAGCCAAAGCCCTCCCACTCATCTCCATCATAGATTCAACATCTTTGTGAGATTGGGACAGAATCCAAGTGCATTGCTTGAGTGTTTGCATCTAGAGGCACTTGGTGTTCGTGTTTCGCTGTGGGATTCGCTTGTTACTCTTGGTGGTTGCCGCCGCCTAGACGGCTTGGAGCAGCGAGGATCATTGAGTGGAGGTTGGTGATTGTCTCCGGCTCCGATCGTGGTGATTGTGAGGGGTTCTTGACCTTTCCCCGGCGGAGAGCCAAAAGTTACTTTAGTGAATTGCTCGTGGCTTGTGTGATCCTCATCTTGTGTTGGTTGTGCGGCATCCTATTGAGGGTTTGGCGTGTGATGCCAATTAGCGCGTGAACCTCCAAGTGAGTGAATCGCCACAACGAGGAGTGGCTTGCCGGCAAGTAAGTGAACCTCGGTAAAAATCATTGTGTTTATCATTTGATTCCGAGGTGATTGGTCTTCATTGATATTGATTCTTGTGATTGATTGGTTCACTCCTTGACATGGTGGTATAACTATCTTGCTCACTCTCTTTACATTACCGCAAATTAGTTGTCAAGCTCTTTAGTGTAGCTAGTTATGAGAGCTTGTTAGTTTAGTTAGTGTGGCTCCTTAGTTAGCCTTTGAGAGCACACTAACTTAGTGTAGTGACATAGCTATTGTGTGGATAGAAACTATATCAACTAAAATTGTGGTAGGTGGCTTGCATTTTTGGTAGGCTAGCGCAATACTTGCTTCGCCTCATAATTGTCTAACCGGTTTGCTAAGTGTTGTTGTAGAAATTTTTATTAGGCTATTCACCCCCTCTAGCCATTAGGACCTTTCAGCGGTATAACCATCTTGCTCTCTCTCTCTTTACATTACCGCAAACTAGTTATCAAGCTCTTTAGTGTAGCTAGTCGTGAGAGCTTGTTAGTTTGACTAGTGTGGCTCTTTAGTTAGCTTTTGAGAGCACACTAACTTAGTGTAGTGACATAGCCATTGTGTAAATAGAGATTATATAAACTAGAATTATGGTAAGTGGCTTGCATTTTTAGTAGGCTAGCGTAACACTCGCTTCGCCTCATATTTGTCTAACCATATTGCTAAGTGTTGTTGTAGAAATTTTTATAGGCCATTCACCCCCCTCTAGCCATTAGGACCTTTCAGCGCCCCTGCTTCAACCATATGCATGGGAAAAGGGACATTATCAACTTCCATATCAGAAAGACTCAATCATCCCTCATTAAGGGTCGATTAGACCTGCCAACGAAAAACATTGCAATCGTTAGTGGCATGAGAAAAAGAGTTATGATATTTGTAATAAGCCCGTCTTTTAACTCATCAGCTGAAGGCAATGTATAATTAATTCTAATATAACTGAATTTCAATAATTCATCAAAGATTCGATCACATTTAGAGAAATCCAAAGTACATTTCATCTCCTCATTTCAATTCTTATGAATCGGCTTAAGAGAAGGACAAGTAACCATCTTATTCTCTACTGGCCATTTAATTTTAGCATGGAACAACTCTTTGTTATCATCATCAGAGTAATCAGAATTATCATCAACAAAATGCACCCCCTGACGATGTGACTTATAAGCATCATGAGACTCTTTAAGGCGCAATTCAACCGAAATGGCCTTTTGTAGCAATTGAATAACATTAACAAATTCATAATGCTCAAGTTTCTCCCTAATACTAGGACGCAAACCAACAAAGCATAAATCAGTTAAGTCTCTTTCTGAAATCATCAAATGAAAGCATCGGTTCTTGATTTCTCTAAATCGTTTGAAAAAATCAAGGAAAAGTTCATCACGACCTTTACGAACCGATGCAAGATAAGACAACCTAGTTTCATGAGCTCCATTGTAAAAGTGATTATGAAACTTTTCCTCTAATTCAGCCCATGAACCAATAGAACAAGATGGTAATAAAGTAAACCATGCAAAAGCTGTGCCGGTAAGTGACAATGGAAAATTACGAACTTTCATAAAATCAAAAGCACTAACTTCACCTAATTGTGCAAGAAACATGCTAATATGCTCCATGGTTGACTTACTATCATCACCACTAAATTTATTAAAATCAGGTATCCTCCACCCATCAGGTGCTTTCATGAAATCAAAATGCGAATAGTACGGCTTATGTAAAGTAGTCCTACTAGGCTTGATTTGTACACCTAAACTTTCCTCATGTGATTTAGACAATTCTTCTCTAAACCGATTCAACGTATCGCTAAAATCGGTAGTAGGAGCAGTAGGTGCATTATCAAGTATAGGAATTTGACTTGGTGACTTCGGCGGGTGAGGAAGGACCGTGTTTTGCCCTGCCGAAGCTCGGTTTGTTGCTAATCTTTGATCAGTTCGAGTGTTTCAAGCCGAATTTTGATCATAGATAACTAATTGTGAAGATGGAGCACTACTGGCTAAACCAGCCTTATTAGTTTCAAGTGCCGAAGAGGCCGATTTGCCTTTGTTTGCTGCTGCATATAATCCTTGATTATCATAAAAATTCAAAGGCATGCCAAATTCAGGTTGTTTAGAAGAAGAAGCAACACCCGATTGATTCCCATCAGTTGTTTTCCTTTCCAACTTATCAAAACGAGCCATGATCATATTCATTGTAGCTAAAAGGTTATTATCTATTACATTCTTATGATCATCCATCATAGTAGCGTAATTGGCATGCGTAGGATAAGGATCAACGATATCATCATACTTGGGTTCATTGGTCCTTACCTCAGGTGTAGCGGGTGCAGATGACGTAGAAGTGATCAACTCGCTGAAGTCTGGCTCCTTGTATTGGGTGACCTTGTCCCGCCGATCTTTAGTGCAACTTTGAAGAAAAGCCCACAGAACGGCGTTGAACTTGGCCTCCACTTGCTGCTTTAGCTCCTCAGGAAGCTCATCAACGGTCTCAAGATGGTTGAAGTTAGCACCATGAGGGACGCTAGTCCTATCGCACTTCTCACCTACATCATCACCATTGCTTCCCATGTCGACCTTAGATTGAACCTTGGATCGCTTTGCTTTCCCCAGCGGAGTCGCCAAAAAGTATGTTGACGCTAAAGATGACTCCAAGCCAACACACCAGCAGGACCTTGGACGGCCAAAAAGGTTGTAGATCAACGTGCAATGCAGCAAGAACGCAGCGTAATCGATCAAACCGATCTAGAGACCGATAAGGCCGATGTAGAGCCAGTTCTTTGCTGAAAACGCTCCTGAACTTCTCCTGGGAAGACTTGTCGGGGAGGAGCACGTGGAGGATCTCCTGGGACCAGCAAGGCCGCCTAGGATGCCATTGAATCTCGCCAGTAAATTCAACGAACAGCAGGAGGGGTTGAGAGAAGAGAATTAGGGCAAAAGAAGTTGATATGTTGTGTTTTTAACGATTGGATAGATGGGATCTCAATCGGCCATGATCCTCTCATATATAGAGAGGAGGGTGGTCTTATCCCAGTAGGAAACCTCTCTAAGCCTTATTTTCCAAGTTTTCCACGAGATTAGAACAGTTCGGATCGGAATCCAAAAGGTCAGATCCGAACAGGGTTTTTTGTTAGGTCTGTCGGAAGTCCCGACTTGGGTCAAAACTCCCGACAGTAGGAACTTTCGACCTTTGTCGGAACTTCCAATGTGGGGATAACCCTAGACACTTGAGCAGGTTTCTTCAGGCTTCCTAGAAGTCCCGACACCTGTCAGAACTTCCGACAGTCGGAAGTCCCGTCTCAGGTCGGAACTCCCGACAATGGAGCATCTTTCCAGGGGTATAACTCCTTCATCCGGACTTCGAATTAGACGTTCCATATATGTTTTTTAACCGTCTCGATGAGAGGAACGCAATGGTGAAGTCCGTTCCACATTTTGACAACTTCAAAAAATGAACAATTTTGGTTGTCAACAGGTGCTTACATCGCTTCTCTGGCTCTCCGTGCGGCATCGCCGGCCGCCAGCTAGTGGCCGAAGCCCGTCTCATGGATGGCGCCACAACGAAGGGGCAAAAGGTAAAGGTAAAAAAATGATCTTCCAAATGCACGTCAGATTCTTCTATAGTTCTGCAATTAGAATCAGGTCATGATTGATGCATTCCATGTTTGAAATATATGCTATTCTTTGATTGATTGTTGTAGGTTTGAAGAGATACATTAGCACGATTTTGAGTAAGCATGGTTATAGTTGTTGCTACGGCTGCACAAATTATTACGGTTACAGTTTATATGGATGTATATATTTATAGATATATTTTTCTTCTCGTGTTGTTGTCTTATATTTTCTATACAACATGTGACCATATATGGATGTATATATAAATTATTATACAAAGTTCGTCATTTTCATTCTGGATCCACCACGGCCGCGACGGCGAACAGGCTCGTGGCGGGGTCAACCTAGAGGCGCTGCAGTGCCCCGATCATGCTGGAGCTGATGACGGACCCAGGAGCGAAGATGATGTCCACAAATGACTTATATTATGAGTTTTGCTTCTTATATGAGTTTCGCTTGTTATATCTATGTTGACTATTATGTCTCGAGCTTATATTATGAATGCCATGGTTATCATGTAGATTTGAAATTTTATAAGAAGAATAAAGCATACATAGATATGTACTATTTACATTGTCGTTCACATGAACATATAGTTTTTTTTTCTTCCGTTGCAACGCACAGGCATATTAGCTAGTGTGTCATATAAAATAAGAGAGATGTAGATAGAACAGAATAATTTTTAATTTGACCACACAAGATGATAATTTTTCTCCCGTTGCAATGCCCGGACCTATTTGCTAGTTCCTAATTATAAGATATTTTATTTTTTTTAGATATATTATTTTTACTATGTATATAGACATAATGTATATCTAATAGCAAAAGCTATGTATTTAGAAAAGCTAAAACGTCTTATATGACGGGCCTATAATAAATATAAGTATATTTTTTAAATTTAGTTAAATTTGAATTTGTTTGATTCGTGGGTCAATACTTCGATGCTTCAATCTTCATCCGGTGTCTTTATTTTTTATTATTTAAAAGTAGAAAAGGCAAAAAAAAAAAAAAATCAATCTCATACGCTGTGGCTGACTGTCTGGCTGTGCAGGTCCAACCCGACCCAACAACTCCGGTCCACCCCATTCCTTACGCTGCCGTCGACTCCGACGCGCCGGCCCGCCGCTCGCTCTCCACCGCCCGGCCAACTCAGGACTCACGGAATACCACAGAACAAGCGCAGTCCAGATGAGTGAGGGTGCCACCTCGCCGGCGCTGGAGCCGGAGGTGGCGCCTTTGCCGGACAACGACGACCTCCATCGGGAGATCTTTCTCCGTCTCCCGCCGCTCCCCTCGTCGCTGCCCCGCGCCTCCCTCGTCTGCAAGCGCTGGCGCCGCCTCCTCTCCGACCCCGCCTTCCTCCGCCGCTTCTGCGCCCACCACCGGGCGCCTCCCCTCCTCGGATTCTTTGCCGACGAAGACGGCGACATCGAGTTCGTGCCCACGCTGCGCCGGCCCGACCGCATCCCCGGCGTGCGCTTCTCCCTGCCGCGGCGCGGCGACGACTACTTGAGCTTCCTCGGCTGCCGCCACGGCCTCGCCCTCCTCGTCGACCGCGCGCGGTCCGAGGCCGTGGTGTGGAACCCCGTCACCGGCAGCCAGTGCCGCGTGCCTTTCCCACCGGAGTTCAACAAAAGACACGTCTACTACAAAGGCGCCGTGCTGAGCTCCTCAGGCGATGGCCACGTGCACGGTGATTGCCGCTTGATCCCCTTCAAATTGGTATTGGTGCATCAGACTGACCTCCCCGACACGCTTGCGTCCGCGTGCCTATATGAATCGGAGTCTGGTAAATGGGGCAATATCAGCTCAATAGCTATTCCATGGTCTCGTTTGCATCAGCCTGCTGTCCTAGTTGGAAACCGACTTTACTGGATACTTTTGGGTACCAGTGACATCCTTGAGTTTGATTTGGATGGCCAGAGTCTAGCCATGATTCAGAAGCCAGAGGACCCCCGTGTTACAAACAATTCAGGCATTCAGGCCCTGCGAGTAGAAGGTAACAAGCTTGGCCTTGCAACTTTGTCAAAGCTGAGCATCCAATTGTGGCAGAGAGAGACCAATTCAGATGCTGCTGGCAGGTGGGTGCCATGGAAAACTATTGAACTAGACAAGCTCCTTCCACTAAGTCGGTTAATGAGGATATGGCCAACAACGATTCTGGGGTTTGATGAGGATAGCAATGCTTTCTTTATTTGTACGAGTGTTGGCATCTACATGATCCAGCTTGAGTCAACACAGTTCACGAAACTTTTCGAAGGCGATTCGTTTACTGCCTATTATCCCTACACAAGTTTATATACTGCAGGTAAGCTTATCTTTATGTTGCACAAGTAATGAGATCCAACCATTTTTGCTATATGGCAATTGAATTATCGCTCATATGCTTAAGAGCTCACTAGCAGTTTGAACATATATATTGTGATCTTTTATACTTTCTCAAGTTAGTGAACTCATAGTAAAGTAATTTGGTACAATTATTACTTTTGAACTACATGAACCTAGTAGAGAATTTTATTGTTGCCAGGTTATTTAATTATGCAAAAGAGATTCAGTGTTGCTCTCTTGAATTGCTGCTTTCAGTACCAGCTTTGAAATGTTAAGAATTTTTTAGCAATACTAGTACTTAAGTAAAGTCAATGTGCTAAATAAGTAGCTTGATTGCCACACTTGGAAGCTTAAAGCTTATTGTTTCTTTCATTCATTATATTTCTTGCAATATATATTTATGACTAATCTACATTCATCTTGTTATAATCAAATTAAAAAATTCTTAGTGAATTACATGAATTTTAGCTTGTGGAGCAATACTTCTGCAGGTGATGTCTTCACTTCTACTGGGTTAGATTAGAACTAAATAATGTTTCGATCTTCAGGGCAAATTTTTACTTGATGTAACATGTTACATCTACGTGGTCGTTCTCATTTGTTTTTCTCTGAAGTTTCTTAATTTGAACTTATTTAGTTAAGGTTCAATTCAAATGGCTAGAACAAAGTAGTTGTAGTTGCCTTAATGTTTATCTGTCTAAACATGTTGCACATTAGGTAGGTGAGTATTATTGTTCAGATTGATTTACTGTGTACAGTGTACTTGACATTAGATGTGGCCCGTTTTCTTGCCCATTTCTAACAACAACAACAACATAGCCTTTCAGTCCCAAGCAAGTTGGGGTAGGCTAGAGTTTGAAACCCACCAAGAGCCCCAAGTCACGGTTCAGGCACTTCAATAGTTGCTTTCCAAGTACTCCTATTCAAACATAGATCTCTAGGTATATCTCAAGCTTTCAAATCTCTTTTTATTGCCTCCCCCCATGTCAATTTCGGTCTTCCTCTACCTCTCCTCATATTATTAGCTTGGCTTAGGACTCTACAATGCACTGGTGCCTCTGGAGGTCTCCTTTGGACATAGCCAAACCACCTCAACCGATGTTGGACAAGCTTTTCTTCAATTGGTGCTACCTCTAGGCGATCACGTATATCATCGTTTCGAACTCGGTCCATTCTTGTGTGATCGTAAATCCATCGCAACATACGCATTTCTGCAACACTCAGTTGTTGAACATGTCGAATCTTTGTAGGCCATTTCTAACCTTGTAATAAAAGCTAATAGGTTACACAGCTGAATCTAATTAGCAAACCTTTTCTCTATTTTATCAATTTGGCTTTACTTATTTTTTATTGGTTCATTGGACTTGTTCTTCTCATAGGCTTGGGCATTGATGATGGAGACGATAGAGCTGAAATGCTGAACAATACATGAGATGATTGTCCCAATATATCTTGTAAACTGAGGTGAGGTGTTTCTTGAACAGGTGATGTTAATTTATCTTTTGCTTTGTGTTTGTTATTTTTCTTGTCAGCATGTTAGTAGAATATATGTTCAAAATGCTTAGGAAATCCATCACCTATTTGTAGTTTATATCAATATCTTTCAGTTGTAAACAGGCTTCATTTCGTATAATTTTTTGGGCTGTTAGGGCTTTTAACCTACAAGTTTATTTCTTATATTGGTGAAATAATACACAGCTCTCCTTTGTGTCTGAGAAAAAGTGTTTAGTGATCAAGTTATTTTGTTCGTTGCTTGGCCTTCATTGTGTGCAATTATTCCATGGTGCTTTCTTTTTCTATTTTTTTTCCAGTAGTGTGAACATCCTATTAGGGCATGAGTAGGTCAATTCAAGTTGTTGTTTTAGTTTATTCATTTATCATTATCTTCTGCAATCATAAACTTGTAACTGAGGCTTGCATATTAACTTATGTAATAGCAGTGCTGTAATTAAAACTTTTTGTGGACTACATGCTGCAAGTGATGTTTGCACTTTTACTGGTTTGGAGATGCTGCTTGGTTTATGTTTCACAAGGCACTTTTTTCTTCTAACCAGTAATCCTTATATATTTCACTGATGTTTCTCAGTTTTTATGATTATTTGAATTAATTTCATTGGGAACTAGTGAAACACTCTTCTCCAGAGTACTTGTGGATAACTTTGTTTTGTGTGATGGCTGCATAGTTTATACATGTTCTTCGTTACTAGGTTAGCAGTTATGGGAGTGTTTGGTTGCCTGGCTTACCCCCTAGCCAGGCTCCAGTAATGCAGGACAAGCTTGTTTGGTTGCCTGGGCACACCCTTTAGCCTGGCCTGCTGAGTGCACCGACCACCCCTAAGCCAGGCTTCCTGGAAACGCGAGTGTCGAGCGTTCCCAGCTAGCCAGGCTTGTTCTCCCAAGCGTGAAGCATCACCGTCCATACCTTCACCGCACCGCTTCCTCCCTCCCGACACCTTCTTCCTTCCTCCCGCGACCTCCCTCAACTTGCAGCGCCGGCGACGGGATCCGTCGGGTCCTCGTCGTGGAAGCCCAGCATGTTGGAAGCCCTGGCTTAGATTCGTCGTGGAAAGCATCTCATAATTTTCTCATATGACTACTGTTCTGCATAATTCTCTCTTATTGTTTGGGCTTTTCTTTGTTTTCATTGGTTCATTCGATTTGTTCTTCCAGGCATGGAATTGGTGGTAGAGACTATATAACTGAAATGAAACGTAATGTCAAACAACCATGAGATGCTTTCCCCCGTTTAATTGGTGAATTGTCATGTTGGCTGAACAATTGATGCAAATTTATCTTCTCCCACGTGTATGTTGTGTTGCTAGTCAGCGTTTTCTGCTGCACTGATACCTATGTATCAATGATGTACTTATGTGTTCGATGTACAGAGTCATAGTCTCATTTACTGAATCCATTAAATTTACATTTAGTGATATATAATCTACGGAAACTGCTGCTCTATTTGGTTATTGCATTATTAGTGTTCAGTGATGACTGATTTTGTTCAATTCAATGGTGGTCTGCCCTGCTATCCAAATTTGATCAGCTTTGGCAGCCTGTTCGTGCTTGTACCTGACAATGTCAGGTTGTTCAATCCGGAGGTATAGAACTTGCTGGTTTCAGATGGATGTTGTTCTGACAACGCTGATAGCCCGCTTCTGTCGCTACTAGGTGGCCCTTTCTCGCAGGTGCTTCTTCCACCTTGCGCTAGGCTCAGGGGCAGCCTGTTCGTTTGGCTGTGGCCTGTCGTAAACGATCGTAAATTTCCAGCCGGAACAGTATTTTTCTCTCACACAAACCAACCAAAGAAGACTATTTTCTACGAACCGGTGATTTAAGCGAACCAGGTCAACCGAACAGGTTGAGGTTAGGGCGTCTCAGGGTCTAGCTCCACGCTAGCTGAGCTGTGAGCTGGATTCTAGCAAACATGGAAGAACAGAAGGATAAAAAAGACATGGATGCTAACGAAGAACAACTCGCTAGTCTATTTGCACATCTTGAGCATACATCGGCAAAGATGCTAACGTGCCAGTTGAGTCACGCTATGACATTAATGCACGTGGAAAGTGATCGTGGGACATGCTAGCGTGTTAATTAAATCACACCAATACACAGGGTGTGACATAATCTTTTTAAAATAGTTTTTTTTTGATGCGGTTAACGCGCAACGGGTCACGCTGTAGCAAATCGCATGAACCCCCTCCACCCGCGTGACCGGCTTCACTCCCCTGGCCACCCTTTCCTTTTTCGCTCCACCCCAGCAGACACTCCTTTCCATTTGCATGCCAGAACTAGACCTTGTGTATGTTTCAAATAATTTTATTTTAGTAGCAATTTATATGTAAAAATGTATTAGGAGATTTACGAAAGAAGTTGCTACCATGTAATACTAAACTTGCTACTCAAAAATACACTAAAGTTTTTACATGGTATACACATTGATTATTACCATTGGAATATAATAAATTTGTTATATATTATTCACATAAAGGTACTAACCTCTAAAGAGAGTGATAGATCAAAACAAAACAAGCTGCAACATGGAGAGACAAATTATTTAATAAACACTTGCGCAAGCTGCCAATTAGAGGGACAAGTTATTATACAACAAATTATAAAAAGTCAGAAAACATGACTTGCTGCCAACCGTGAGCATTTATTAAAAAATGAGGGTAGGGATACAAAACAAGACAAGCTGTAACTTGGGGGCAAATTATTAGAACAAGCATTGGATAAGCTGCCAACTAGAGGAGCAAGTTATTATAAAACTCACTATATGAACCGAGAATCATGACAAGCTAAAAATTAGTGGGACATTTATTAAAAAACAAGAGTAGTGACCCAAAATAAAATAAGCTACACCCTGAGGAGCAAATTATTAGAACAAACATTGCATAAGGTGTCAATTTAGAACAAACTATTAGAACAAACATTGCATAAAGTGCCAATTTAGAAGGTAAGTTATTATACAACTAATATGTAGAATTTAGGAATGCATTCGAACCTAAATAGGTAACTGACAACTAAAAATAAAAAATATTAAAAAAAAGCTTTACTGGAAACTGAAAATAAAAAAAATATTGAAAAAAACATAACTCATTAAACTGAAACTAAAAGACACAATGAAAAAAAACGAAATAATGAAACTAAAAAATGATTACATAATGAAAAAAATGAAACTTGTAACTGAAATTGACAAACACAAAAAAACATAAAAATGCAAAAAATACTAAAAACAAATAAAACCAAAAAGGAAAAAATTGCCGCACAAACGAAAAAAGAAAAAAACACAGCGTGGCCAGGCCGCACGTGCAAGGCCAGGCCGCGTGCCGGGGGGTTGCTCGCTCGGCAGTAGCGCGACCCCGCGCGCAATAACGTTTGCGTTCTTTTTTGCTAAACAAAAACATTAGGGCCATGCCCCCGCATTCGAGCCGTCGCCTTGGCAGTAGAGAGGCCCCGCGATGTGGATCCTGTGGACGAAGGGCGTTGCCTCGTGCGTTTTATACCATGTTTACAGCAAGATATCATATCCTCTCCCCTATATCTCTGATATAGGAGATGCAACAACTCGAGCAGATCTCCTATCATATTTTGTTTCGGTGGGTCCTAGCAAATATGTAATTCTAATCTCTAAATAAAAGTCGGCAAGAAGATAATTATATCAACATGTTAATGTTAGGATTGGTTTGTTCGCTCATGACTACTCCCTCCGTACTAAAAAAATGAAGTCATTTTGGATAGCGACACGGTCTCCAAAACATAACTTTAACTCCTTGATCTTATAAAAATATTAATTAAAAAGTGATATATGTATATTTTTATGAAAGTATTTTTCAAGATAAATCTATTCATATGGTTTTCATATTTCTAAACTCAACAACTTAAAAGTTATTCATGATTTATATTCCCAATGTTTGACCCAAACCTTGTCCAAAATGGCTTTATTTTTAGTATGGAGGGAGTATAACAAAAGATATCTAGATTTTCTACTCATCAATGATTGCACTGGTATATTAGTACAACTTA